TTATAATATATCGTACACAGTGAACTTTATAATATATCGTACACAGTAAACAGTGAACTTTATAATATATTGTACACAGTAAACTGAACTTTATAATATATTGTACACAGTGAACTTTATAATATATAGTACACAGTGAACTTTACAATATATAGTACACAGTACACTGAACTTTATATTATAAAGTTTACTGTGTACTATATATTATATAGTACACAGTACACAGGGAACTTTACAATATATAACTTTATACTACGTCATATAGGTGATGTAGTATAAAGAGTCAGGAGGGTGGAGGTCAACATACACAGCACTTTGACCCAGGAGAACGCTGTTCATGTCGTGTTTTAACATAAACTAAAGGTATTATATTATAAACTATGACCTTTTTTTGTAAACTAAACGAAGTAGTTTTGTTTTCTGACATAAATAAAACGTTAAACGGTTACAGCGCCACCTTCAGGACTAACGGTACATCTTCACCACACTGTTCAGGCTCCACCCACACTGTTCAGGCTCCACACACATTAATACGTTTTCGTTTAAAACAAAAACGATCTCCACATTATGGAGAACATGTATACTTTTGTTCTTTTACAGTTTATGTGTGGACTAATAAGCATTAATAAGAAAAGGAAAGTCTTCCGTTTTGTGTCCGTCGTCCTCAAAGCCTCAAACCGTGACTTCATCCGTTTACGTCCGTCTACACAAGGAGGTAACCTCTGAGTATATGAACTTATCTGTTTACATCCACACTAGGAGGTAACCTCTGACTATATAAACGTATCTGTTTACGTCCGTCCACACTAGGAGGTAACCCTGGAGTGTTTTCTCGTCTGTCCAGGTGACTGCTGGCTGTTGGCGGCCATCGCCTCGCTGACGCTGAACGAGTATGTGATGGCCAGAGTCGTCCCCACCGACCAGGGCTTCGGTGACGACTACGCTGGCATCTTTCACTTCCAGGTAACAAAGCATGCCATTGGTACCATCAAAGGTAACTTCCACTCACGATGGACTAGAAGCTTCAGTTGCTATGGTTACATGCAGTTTGATAAACAGAAGTTAAAACTGTTAAAATATGTAAATTAGTTTGCAGCATTTCGTATGTGGAACCATGATAAAAGTAAAATAATACGGGGACCCAACATTGAACCCTGTGGAACTCCACAACTATCGTAATTCAGATTCTAGCGACAACTATCAGGTTCTTCAGAACCGTCCAGCATTTGTGATTCACAACTAGCTCACATCTCAATATCGATGCCAAAGAATAACTGTCGACTAAGAGTCCCTATTAGACGAGTTGTGGTTTACACAGTTGGAAACTTTCAGAGGTTTGATTGTTCTAAGTAGAACCTTTGGCAGAGTGGATCTCTAAACAAAGACCTTGCACATCTGTAATGAATCTGGAACTAAATGAGCTGGAAGGTTAAAGTGACTGAGAGCAGTTTTACTCGACAGGAAACCAAACTGAAGGTTCTTAGAGGTCATAGTTCGGAGTCTTAAAAATTTGGACAAAGAAAACGGAAACCGAATCATTTTAAAAGCTCTCGTCTTGTCCCGCCTCAGTTCTGGCAGTACGGTGAGTGGGTGGACGTTGTGATCGACGACCGTCTGCCGGTCAAAGACGGAGAGCTGATGTTTGTCCACTCGGCAGAGGGGAGAGAGTTCTGGAGCGCTCTGCTGGAGAAGGCCTACGCCAAGTAAGACCAACCTTAGGGATTCAACCCGACAACCTTCTGTTCACAAACCACTGCTGGTGGACTCATTTAAGACCTGCTTGTGTTTTGTCACAGAGTCAATGGCTGCTATGAAGCCTTGTCCGGTGGTTCCACCACCGAGGGCTTTGAGGATTTCACCGGAGGCATCGCCGAGAACTTCGACCTCCAACGCCCCCCCAAGAACCTGTTCCAGATCATCAAGAAGGCCTTGGAGGCCGGAGCGCTGTTGGGCTGCTCCATCGACGTGAGTCATCTCCACGATGTTCAGTGACATAGACCAGAGATCGATCCGGGACCACGTAGACCAGAGATAGGTCCGGGACCAGAGATAGGTCCGGGACCACGTAGACCAGAGATAGGTCTCAACCATCACCTGTCGTTGCAGATCACCAGCGCCGCGGACTCGGAGGCCGTCACACGTCAGAAGCTGGTGAAAGGCCACGCCTACTCGCTGACCGGCGCCGTGGAGGTGACGTCACTACCTGCAGATTGAATAGGAGGAGGAGAAGAAGAAGAAGAGATGAAACAAGAGCAGAATAAAAACATTGTGTTTTGTGTCTCCAGGTGAACTACCGCGGCCGACAGGAGAAGCTGGTGCGGGTCAGGAACCCCTGGGGTCAGGTGGAGTGGACCGGAGCCTGGAGCGACGGGTAACCTAAAATAATAACCCCAGGTTCTATGAGCACCTCTACTCACAGAACCTCATCAATGAAGGTCTTGAGACAAGAACAGAGAGGACACCCGGTCTCACTGGAGACCAGCAGACGATCTGCTGGGTTTAGTGTCTTCTTGTTGTTATTATTATTATCATCATTACTTTTATGTTCTTACAGATCGTCTGAGTGGAACTACGTGCAGGGAGACTGTCCCCATGCCAATGCAGAGGACGGAGAGTTCTGGTGGGTACTTAGCATAGAAACGTGGTGCCGTTGTTATCTTGTTGTTTTTTTAGCTGCAGAGTGAGAGCTCCTCTTTCCTCTCCTATCTCTGCTCCTCCCTTTCCTCTCCTGTCTCTGCTCCTCTTTCTTCTCCTGTCTCTGCTCCTCTCTTCTCCTGTCTCTGCTCCTCTCT